GAAAACCGAAATAATGCATATAACAAAAACCGAAATAATGCATGCATGCACAGTTTCGGTTGAAAACCGAAATAATGCATATGAAAAACCCGAAGTAATGCATACATGCACAGTTTCGGTTGAAAACCGAAATAATGCATATGAGAAAATACCGAAATTATGCATATGCATACTTTCGTTTTAAAAGCGAAATAATGCATATGAAAAAAAACGAAGTAATGCATACATGCACAGTCTCGGTTTAAAACCGAAATAATGCATATGGTAAAAACCGAAATAAAGCATACATGCACAGTTTCGGTTGAAACCGAAATAATGTCTAAATGCACAGTTTCCATATGCGCAATTTCGGTGTCCCTTCGTCAGAGGATGAGGGCTTAAAAAACTGGCCAGGAGCTGAAAACGTGAGAATTTAAGTGCAGCCTTTTGAATATATTTTGACATACAATATATTTAAGAAATTTTTTGATCCAAATCTATTTAAAATATATTAAAACTATAAATAGCTCCATGAAATTGTTTTCAGAGATCTTGCCAACGGAATATAGCGATTTTCTTTCATTTGTAAAACCAGACTTTTGGAGCTTGTGTTTACTATTCACGGCGTTAGAACTGCTTGAAATTAATACAAATTGTTTAAAATTAGTGTCTAGCCGCCAAAAAGTAAGAAAACAAGTGCAAAATCGTACATTTTTTAAATTTTCTAACATTTCGCTACACCAACGAAAGGAAAATTCTGTTCGACAGAAAATTCGATACTCAACGAAAATTTCGACACGCTTGCATAGCTCATAATACGAATTTCACTTTTGATCTTCGATAGCCAGCTAAGAGCGAAAATCGAATGCAACTCATAATAGGGGCCAAAAATTCTCAAAAAGTTGTTACAGCTTCTACCCGCATAAAGTGGCAGTTCTGTTGCAGCGCACCGCCACATGCGCAACTACGAAAATGCCGCTAAGCAACTTTCAAGCGGAAAAGTTACAAATACATTCAAGCGTCCTATACGTATTCACATTTTATTCTGCTGTTTTTCTGCTAGTTTTCATCCAGTGTGAATACGTGAAAATAATTGTTCTGTCATTCTGGTGTGAAAGGCCCACGAAAATAAAACATTAAGGGCCAATTTCAAATGAATATTTAGACGGCACTTAAGTTTGAATGTATATTGTTGTTTAAATGCCATTTAGCTTTCGTTGGGTTTCAGATCAGCTTTGTTTAAATATGCCAATTAAATGGCAGCACTGCTGCTTGTTCCTTGAAATTGTTGTTGCATTTGCTTGTTTGTTTATATTTTGTGCTGAACAGCTGATTGTTTTTTGGTGGGATTGATTAAACAACCTACGAGTCAGTCTTGGTTGTTTGGTACAAGCACAGGGTTGCATATCTCATATTTAAATAGCCAATTTTGGCCATATAAGTGCAAATTATATGTATGATCTGAAAATGAATAGTGAAAGTTAATCAACAATGTCTACTTAAGTAGGCCATCTGAAATTTTTCCTTAGAACCAGCGTTGCCACTTTGGAAATTGTTACCAAAATTGGTAGACAAAATTTGGGTTGGTAAAAAAGTAAATTTTTTCTCATTTTGGTAGATTTTTTGTTGAATTATTTTGTTTTCGTTCCCGTTTTATTTTTCGCAGTTATATTTTTATTACAAACATCTTTCTTTCAAAAAGTAATGTCTACTTTATTGCATTAATTTTCGATTGTTTTAATGCACACTTTTTATATACATACATACATAATAATAATAATAGATTGGCGCTTACACATATGTTAGTGTTTGGCCGAGCTTCTCCTCCGATTTGTGGCGTGCGCCTCGATGTTGTCACACAAAGAGGAGGGAACTACAGTTTTACGCCGACTCCGAACGGCGATTGTATTTTTATGAGAAGCTGTTTTTCATGGCAGAAATACACTCGGAGGTTTGCCATTGCCTGCCGAGGGACGACCGCTGTTAAGAAAAAACCTTTTTTCTATATTTTTTGCGATGTTGCTTTGACCAGGGCTTGAACCCAGGCGTCGCGGAGTGGAAGCGCGCACTGCTTACCACTACACCACAGCGGCCGACAATACATACATACATGCGTTTAAATGAATATCGATAAAAAGCGAACATATCGTGCTCCATTCAAAACTTTTTTTATTGGAATCCCGAGGAGTTTTTGATTGCTTAATATTTTAAATGATTTTAAAATGAAAAAAAAATGGACAGGTTTGTACTACGCACTTTGATAGTTCGCAAAAAAACAAATTAATCGACGCCAATTTTTATCAATGGCGATTGTTAAATGAAAGAAAAGCACAAAAAACTGGTGGCAAAAAAATTAAAATATTCCAATGAGAATTTTTAGCTGCACATTGTTGGTTATGCTCAAATATTATGGGCTATAAAATTCCATACCTTAAATTGTTCAAAAAATTTAGAGTAAAAAGATGAAAATTTTTTGATTTTTTCTAAATGTTGCATATAGCTTGAATCCTTGATTTGTAAGTGTTGGTTAAAGCGCAAACAATATTCTTACAAAAAATACCAAAAAATTATTGCTTGAAAAAAATTTTGAATATTAAAACAAATCACCGAGCGATTTTTTGAACCACTGTATTTATCTATCTTTGGAGTGCAATGGGGTATAGTCATTGCGCTGGGTATGCAGTTACAGTTGCATGGCTATACTCAATCCCGACTCTTGCGTCCTCGTTCGCGCACTCTGGGCAACGTGAGCAACCCATGTTCGCGATGCTGTAACCAATCCAAGCCTTGGGTCACGACAGAAAGAGAAGGAGCTTCGGTGGGGCCACTCCGACTTATTCGGTTTAAGGGCTCACTGAAGTCTGCAGCGTCTGTTCACCAGTAGGTGCGGCTGCAAGCGGGTGTCTGCTTGGAGCAAGCGGCTCGCTATATAAACGTGTATTTGGTTGCGAAACCACCCCCGTCCCAGCAATGGGTTGTGCGCTGGGCTTGGGACCCGCCACGTAAAAACCACTTCCAGTGAAGAAGCAAGGCAAAGCCTCGGATGAGACCCCCCCTTATGATGACGACCACGGCAAACGTTTAAAGGACTACGATTTGAGGGCATGCACCTGGAATGTCCGGACCCTTAATGGGGAAGGTGCCTCTGCCCGGCTGGTTGATGTCCTCACCGCCATCCAAGAAATGCATTGGACGGGGCAAGGCAAACAATGTCTGGGGCCTTGCGACGTCTACTACAGCTGCCATGTAAAGGAGCGCAAATTCGGAGTTGGATTTGTGGTGGGAGAGAGACTCCGTCGCCGAGTACTGTCGTTCACCCCGGTGGACGAGCGTCTAGCCACAATCCGCATCAAAGCGAGATTCTTCAACATCTCGCTCATCTGCGCCCTTGCCCCGACGGAAGAGAAGGATGAGGCATCCAAGGATCTCTTCTTTTGGCGCTTGGAGCGCACGTACGAGCGCTGTCCCCGTCATGATATCAAAATCGTGCTTGGCGACTTCAATGCCAGGGTGGGCAAAGAAGGGATATTTGGAACCACCGTCGGAAAATTCAGCATCCACGACG